TGTCACTGCCGTCCAGACGCAGCTGCAGTCGCGGACCCATCGAGAAGACCACTGTCGCCACACACGTCGAGGTCGGGTTCCGGGGGTCGAGCGCCTCCAGCTTTTGGCCCACTTTGAAGTCGTTGACGGGAGGGTTGGCGTGTTGTTTGAAGTACGCGTGCGGCGCCGGTCGACCGCCCTCTTCAGCCAAATACTGGTTCCAATCGAACTGGTCGTACAGTTCCCACTGGAATGAGGGGCCGGTAGTCAGTCGGCGTTGACTCACTTTAGGAGACGGCTTAACGGCGGCACCCGTTGTGGTGACAGCACTGGTAGTACTGTTCGTATTGGTTGTGGAGTTTGTGGTGAACGTATTGCTCGTGTCCTTTGACTGCGGAACTGATGATAACTGTTTCGCATCAGTGGTGATGGTGTTGGCGGGCACGGGAGGGGTGGGTGCTTGTGATGGCGAGTGAGTGGTGATAGTGGCCATCATGGCTGCCGATGACGGGTTCACATGTGGGTGACTGATGTTAGACTTCTTGGTCTTCTGGCTCTCCCGGAGCCGATACTTCTGCAGACATTCAGCACTGCAATAGTGTTTGCCATCGGCTGACAGTTTGTGGGCATCGGTGGTGGACAGGGATGTGCTGATGAGACGATTACAGTTAATGCATGTGTTATGCATCGCATTCACCATATAATGACTGCGCGACTAATAGTGGTATCAAAAGCGATGTCTTAATCGACATCCGATTCAAAAGAGTCCATATTTATGGCAATTATTACAATTAATGTCATCATTATTGCAATGATTTAGTGAAAGCCATTGAAAAGTGAGTGAAAAGTCATTTCAGTGTCCATACAATACTCACCAATCGTTTAATACATTACGAAAACAATTCTCATGTAAACTGTCACTCAATCGCTATATAATAATGAATGAATGACTATAGCGTTCACTATAACTATAATACTGTAGATAAGTCTCTCATATTTTCATACATAACTTAATACATATAACACACGCATTATTACAGTGTGGCGGACGTCCAATGGGATGGCGTCACACAACAGTCCACCAATTATGGCGAGTTCATGCGATTTTGAATTCGCACGAGAATCACCATGGTACAAATGCACACCCCCACACTACCCCCTCACACACTCCCACTCCAGTTGACTCAACCCTTGCCCACCAGTCTTTATGGCAAACGTGGCCTATTATAAGCACCACCAGCTTTATTACACTTTTATATTTAGCACCTATCACAATTTTGTGCTTAACTCATTTACATTTATGCACAATATTACAATGCACTATTTTATTTTTGTATGATAGGTAAATTGCCTATGTACACTGTACTGTACTGTATCTGATACGGAATATCGTATAAAATGTGTCACTCTATGTGGCAGTCATTCACTCCAATGCCAAGTATTCACACAATATGTGTCCTATTGTCAAGAAATGCCATCAATTCATAACCCTTTACTCGCTTTTTATAATCATTACAGGTTTTTGCCTATTGTCTACATTCAACACAAGTCATATCTGTTGTGAATATTTATTGATGAATTCATATTTATACCAGTAGAAATTATTCCGTATTTTTGAATTTTATATGTTTCAAAATTAAGGTAAATTTAAATTAATTTAATTTGTATTAAAAATATATACAGGTATACAAATAGAATATTTCATTTGAATCTAATTTTTACACTGGCACAATTCAATTCAAAAACATTATAAAGTATGTACGGTATAACTAAGTTTAAAAACTTTGTAAAATACCGGAAAAGTCTAATACAGTAGTAATGAATGGAGACTATGATTGGTTGGGTTGTTAATCACTGTTAGTTTGTGGAGAGGGAAGGGAAGGCCTACTGAGGTCGAGCCGTTTGAGAGTCCATTCAAAATAGTCGGGAATATTTCGACATTCAATGACCACATCTTTTTTGTCTTTCCTACTCGCATGAAGGGGTAGTGTAATGCGATTGTGGTGTATGTGCACCGGTATCTCTCCATTGCCCCTAACCATCAGCTTCTTGATGATGTTGAGGGGCAGGGGCTCGACGTCTTGACTGTAATTCATTTTATGAGGTTTGATAGACATCGGAGTTCCCATAATATGCTTGACTTGTCTACAGAAACGATTGTCACCTAAAACAGCAAAATACCGGTCAATCAGATTGAGTTCACAGAAAGTTTTACAAAATAAACTCCAAAAGTGAACTCAAAGCTAACAGAAAATGCCAAACCATTACCGAAATCATGAATTTGCCATAAATATTACGGTACACTAAATATACAGTCATTTATAAGACAATAAAACTATGAAAATAGGGATAAATCGTAAACTAATTGCATATGAAATGAACAAAACAGACCCAAAACAAAGGATGTCTTGAAAGCCAAATAGCATTCAATGAAATTATATTTCGTGACATTAGTGGACAACTCGATGAGCGCGACGCCTAACGTCTTGTTCACATCGAGAGTCCTGAGACCACACAACACGGGCTTCACAACCATCCCATCGGACTGTGGTTTCTGACGGCGACGCATAGTATTCGTCAACTGTTGGGCCGGTATTATGACGGGTTGCTTGTGGTCACCCAACTCATCCATTTCCA